TATGTAGAATACGTGATAGAGATAGGCAACTCTGAATCAGCAGGCATTACGAATGGTAATTGGCAAGCCTGATGAGCCATCTAGAGGAGTCACTCTAGGCAGTGGGAAGCAACCAGAAATTGCGCATAAAACACCATGCTGCCATTGAGCTGCCGTCAGGGCGTCTGTTACAGCTCTCCAGAGAAGACACATCCATTGCTAATCCTGTGGGCATCGATCACAAGGCGGCAGAACTCCTTTACCAGGACAGCAACTTAGGGAAGAAATTGCTCAACTGTTTTGGCAAAATACACCTGCAGGTGGAATAGTTGAAAAAAAAAAAAGAAGACTGTTGAAGTAGTTGAAAAACAGGACCGAGTGGCTTGCCGACTTGATCGGCTTCTTCCGTAACCTGGTGAGAAAGATGTTGCACTTGTACTATGGTTGCCTTCATGCCTGATTTTCTGTCTTTTCTAGCATACAGTAGACTCTCAGTAAATGGAAATCTGTAAAACTGAACTGCTGCTTGAATGGAACAACTTTCTCTGTTATGATTGGTTTCATACTGGAATGCTGCAACCCACTTCACCTCTCAGTAAACAGAACTCCTGTTAAATGAAACACATTTTCCCGGTCCCTTCAGGTTCCATTCAATGAGAGTCTACTGTATATGATCTGCAAGATGTAACATCCCTGCAAGCTTGTACCATGGGCAGCTGTCCTGTCAAAGCATGATCGTGACCATATGCATCCATGGGAACATCGTGCCTCAGCCAGGAATGCCACGCGCACGCACCATTGTACACACACACACACTCAATCTTCTGCCCCGAGTAGTCACTAGGTAGTCACTAGAACATCACTTCAATGGCCATAGCCATGCAGCTTCACATGAGGAATGTTCTGGCTCACACTTTGCTGCAGCACATGGCGCCTCTTCTTTGCCCGTTTGGGTGAAGGGCCACTCGCTGGTCGTCCTGCAGCTACTCGCTTGGAGCCTCTAGTTAGTCCTGGACGTCGTCTTGAAATTGCTGTTGGCTGCACTTTAATATATCGTCCACGACGTAAACCCAGACCTAAAGCAGCGTTCATTGCCATCATGGCACCAACACCGCGCTTCTGCTCTTGGAGTCTTCGGAGGCGTTTAGTGCCGCTGAGGAGGTGCCTTCTGTAGACTGCATTGCTTTTCTCCTCTGCATGAACTCGCCGTAACTGCTCAATCAGCGCTTCAAGGCTGTTGTCTGCATCCTATAACAATCGTCACTTTATTAGGTATAGCTTCAAACATTAGGTTTTCAAATACTGGAAGCACAGTATTTTCTCAATAGTCTCCCAGTACACACTTCGGTACTTTTTAAGAACACTGAAGATACTTTTTTTTATCAAGATAGACCTCATAATTTAAGAAGCAATAACACATATTTATTTACAATGGCATGCCATAAAGGAGTACCAACACGATTTTCAGACACCGAAAAGAAACATTTTTCATTTCTATGGTGTGCGCTATTAACACTCTCTGCACACCAGGCAACATGAATGAAATATTTAAATTTGAATTCAAAGTATTTATTGCCCAGCATCTCTAAGCCAATCTCTCTGCAGTGGACATTATCACAGTACAACACAGTTACTAAGTTTGCGAAACCTGCGTCCTGCATGCAGCTTAAATAGCAGAAATCGCTGTCAGTCTTTGGATGACATCTTACTCATCCTTTAGGTGAACATGTGCATATGACAGCAGAATGACAGCTGCTGCTACTAAGTTGCGAGCCGCAGTCTTTTTTGACGACTTCTGTTGACAAGTCAGAGCAGGCAAGTCACTAAGTATCTGTGGATGTAACCTGTGGATGATGCAATCGCACTTTTTACGGTGTGCCGCAGCTTCGTAGTGTAATCGAAATGGTTACCACAGTGGCTTATAAAAGAGCTGTATCAGGGAATCGCACACTGTGAAATGCTAGCGGGCGACTTCCAGAACAATTGTTTTTAAGGCTTTGGGGTGTAAGCATAGGCCAACCACCAAGTGTTAAAAAAAACAAGGAAAGTGAGATGCAGTAGTCAAATGACTGAATGGATCAGTCTTGTGAGTAACCATCTGCAAAAGTATCAGATTCCGCCTTTTGCTAAGATACAAATGTGGTTACAGAATACTGACTTTTTCTCCAGATACCATGCCTAGTACAGCTAAACCCCTTAATAAGTGGCATTCTCCGGGCAGCAATTCTTGTCTCTTAATACAGATTACCACGTATGCATTTTTCCTATCAATCCGTATTTTACTCTAAGCACACTGGTGTTTCTTATATCCATTTGTCTCTTATATCAGTGTCTCTTATAAAAGGTTTCAACTATAGTACTCTTTATCTACTAAAACACTATCTTATTCTTACATAATGGAGGTAATCACATGACGTCATATGCAAGAGGCCCTAGCATGGAAGTCGCCATATTTGTGCTTTCGCGCATAAACATCATCATTCCACAACCAAAGTTCTCGGCAGTGTGTGTTTTGCTAATATTTTCATAAGAAAATGGGTTAGTGATGTGCACCGCCACCAAATAACACGCTGTCATAACCCAGATCACTGACCGACCAGGGCTATGGCAGCGCACGCACTGGTGCTGCCTGGCAGGAAGAGCTCATTGAATACCTCTTATCAAAACTAGGTAGTTGAGAATGTTGTCTGCAGAGTAATTTTGCAGAAGATGGTCCACACTCTAAGGTTGCCTGCACAACAATTACAGATACTAATGACTTATGGGTCAATAGCAGGTCATTTGCTTCATGGGCGTTAGACCTGTGCATGTTGGCTCAATGCTTCCGACGAAAAATTGGGCAGAAAGAAGTAATGACCGCATGAAGAGGTACAGCAACTGGTACATGACTGGAGCACAGTTAATGTAAAGAATTCTTTTTACATTGGTATACAAGCAAGCATCTGAAAAAAGGTTGAGTGAGGGAGAATACAGGAAGACATATTTTTTGAAGACTTGAATCGGCTGAATGAATAACTAGTTATGAAAATATTGATTTGTATGACCTTTGTATTTATTTCAATGAAAAATTGTGTGTTACATTGGGCTGCAGGGGCTCCACATCCACTTATTTGACGACAGCTTTTATGGTATCATTTTGAAAAGTTGTATGCCGATGCGAGCTAGAATCTCATCCACACCATGTAAATGCTGGAATTAAGCACCCCAGGGTGTAGCTGTAGTGTGCTGTGACCATTGAGCTGTTGTTGACCCAAATGTTTGGTGACAAGCCATTAATAGCCCACATATAGTTCCAAATGCTAACTGTACAGCATTGATGAGTAATAGTCAGAGGAGCACCACCTGCAACTCTGTAACCTGAGGTGCAGTTAGCCCAAGAGATAGTTGGAAAAGCTTGTATGGTACTCAGTTGTTTTGTGAAAATGAAGCTCTGGGATGTGGTACTCATTTTCTGTTTTGCCACAAATTTATTATCCAGTGTTCTTAGCAATTTACAAATTAGTAATTTAAGCTGGAAGTGAATATTATAGAGCAAAATAAACAGTCAGAACTTGTTCCACTTTTTTCATCTATTCGTCACTTGAAACTTTCATAAACAGGCAAACATATTTACTAAGTGACACCTAGTATGCAATTAATATAGAGGCATGTTGGAGTATTCAAACCGTTTTCACTGTGGGACTGAATGATAGTTTTTTCATAAAGAGATCTCTGTGCACTGATTTTATGTGCTTCTCAATTTCGTTACAAGCAAAATTATGGCATGTCATCCTGCATCGGCTACACATTGTTACAGCACCCTGGTGATGACATTATGACCCTTTACGAAAGAAAGTAGCTCTGTTCGTCATTACTCTATGCTGAACTTTTTTGCTAGCATTGGGTGTCATCTATAGCTTGTGAGTAGTGGCAATAATGTTGCTTCTACTATATGCAACTGCGTGATGTATGACTTTTCATTCTAGGAACTTGTATGGATTCCCTTTGAAACATTGGCCACAATATTACATGAATGTCTCATGTTAATATTGTAAACTTTACTGAACTGTTATAAGATTGGATGTATTATCTTTTGTGACTGAAAACGCTAAGTGTGGTACCTCTACAGCTCTCTTAGTGCTTTAGCAGTGTCCAAAATCTGTGAATTAAGTGCTGCACTGACAGAACATTTTAGAAAATTGGTTTCAAGATCTGTTGTAACCAAAAGTCTTCTAAAAATGCATGCAAATTAGGGCTTAGGATTTTAATAGCCTTTAATAATGCAAATATAATAATGATGATGATGATAATAATAATAATAATAATAATGTTTTATGTCTCAAAACCACGATATCATGACACTATATACGGAGACAACCATAATTTTGCCCACCTGGCGTTCTTAAACACACCTAAATCTAAGCAGACAGGTTTCTAGCATCTTGGCTCCATTGAAATGCAACTGCCCCAGCCAGGATTCAATTCTGCGACCTTTGGGTTGGCAGTCAAGCACCATAACCACTAGACAGCTGTAGCAAGTATGGAACGTATGGTGTAAGTGCAGTGCTGTAATAGTCAACTCACCATGTTTAGCATAAAGTGGCATCTCAGCTATCTTTAAGAGGGGGTCTACATCCTTTCCAAAGTTTTTTTCTCTGCAGAGCCTGTGCCAGTAGTATATGGCAGGAGGCAATGGGTTCACTGCAGAGTTGGCAACGAGGGCATACCCATCTTCTTGCACAAGCAATTTGCTCTCGTGAAGCCTGGTGGCTTCAGCTGGTGACATGCCGCTGTCAAAGTATGCCAAAAAGGTCTCTCTGGTCTGCATTGTTGGAGTAAGACGAGAAAGTGCGTCTGCTGCTGCAGTGCTGTGGCTTTTGTGATGAAAGAGCTTTATCACAGCTGGCAGTGGCTTTTCCCCACGTAAAAAGGCATCATTACGTTTTGTATTTCTGTTGACCTTCTTGATTTTGAGGTCAATCTTTGCTGGACAGTGTGCTGCAGCCTCACCACATGATTTTTCCCGCTTTGCCTCTTTGCAGCGCCATACTTTGTGGAACACCATCCTGCAAAGCAGTACGAATTTAGAATTTCAGTGACAGCAACGAAAGGGGTCTGCTTTGCCTGCAAATGCCATTTGATCAAAGGAAAAATACACCAGTTACTTGAGCACTTACTAGGTACCTGCACAAATCTCCTTGCAGTGCGTTTAACCCTTTTAGACGCTTTGTACACAATTGTGTACATCACTTGTTTTTGCTAGTTGTGTCAACTAGGGGCTAAAAAAGTGCAAGATACAATGAAGTTTAGATGAAATAATCAACCTCCTCCCTAATAAACATGTCTTTAACTTCAGTTTTCACACTACTGTTGCATATAATCACTTTTCCAGAAGCACTACCATAGTCGACGAGTCATTCAATGCAGCGCTTCGCTGGAGCCACTTCGAAATATCTTTTTTTCTTTTCTCAATATCCTTAAAATGAGAAACCAATATCCAGTATATATCTAGTCTGAGATTTCATTCTATATATACAAGAATCAAATATGAATGTCTTTAGAATAAGTAGATGTTTCATAAAAGCTCAATTTCAATTAACTGCTATGAAATGCCTAATCAATCTATTATAAAATTATTGTTGTTGCAATAGAATATAGACAGCCTTGAAATCATGTGTCAATTTGACGCATTTACAGGCAGTTCTTCACAGGTGGCATCTGAAAGGATGAACTCAACAAACCTGCCAAAAACACAATCATTAATTTTACTTCTTGCATTACCGAAGCACATTTAAGACATTTTCAGCTTGTAGGTTAGAGTTTGACGACAGTTCAGATGGTGAGGAAACATGATAATAAAGTTCCAGTCACTCAACAAGTTTAGGCGAAAACAAATGAGAGACGTTTCGGGACTAGTACAGGTTCCTAGTAGTAATCAAGGGGCTCTTACAGATCTCAGGGTGTCTCTCGTGAGTTTTCATTTTCACTTGTTCAGTGACTGCATTGTCATCATTAGGATAAATAAATCACGGAAAATGCCAATCCTGCTGCAAAGCTACTAGCTACCGTAGACACATCTTAGAGGCTTGCCACAACACTTGAAATTTGAACAAGAGATCACAGTTGTAAAGCCTGCACAAACTCTGCATTTGAATTTATCGTGACCATCAGCTCTTATTTGTGCAAGCTGGAACTTTATGGCATTTGATGCTCTCACAATTCCAAGAAAAGGGGATTCAGTCAATTAGTTTTCTGGCACAGTAATTGTTGAGTGAGACAATTTTACTAAATATTTTGCTAATGAATTGCTTTTGTATTAGCCAAACCGGGGGGAGTCGAGAGACACTCTCACAATAGCTTCCTGGAATCGGCACAAAGTTAAAAGTTGGTATTGGGGATCTAAGCTAGTCACTGCAGTCTCTACTGTGCCTGTAGTTCATCTGGGAAGTGCAGGGGGGGGGAGGGGGGGGGTAATACAACTTTTTTCTCAACTATTTCACAGTCCCAGAATACATGCTTTGAGGTGGTTCCTCTATTATTATAGAAGATACGTTTTGCCTCGCGGATGTAATTGCGAAAACTTACGGCCATGTTGTACCAGGTTTGTTTAAGTTTTCGTTCTTTTTTGTAGTGTTTCTGAGAAAAAGAAAAATGCACTCTATTCTGCCCCCCATGCGAGGACACTTGTAAGCGCATTAAGTTTTGGTTTGAAGGCAACTCCGGTGAATCACCTGAAGGGTGTCCAGTTTGCGGCTAGGCGGTGGGAATGCGCGTTTCGTTATTTCTATATATTTGAGAAATGTCACTGAATGAGCGGAGTCTAGCCCTCTCGTACCGATCATCTCCTCGTTGTCCACAACCATTGAGACGGCGCATCGTTGGACATTATCCGCAAAACATGAAGTTTTATCACCAGAGACGACGTAAGTTATTTTTGGAGTTATAAGATCATTTTTTGCATTACCTTTCACACTTTGCTGTTGGCTTGACGAAGTCTACAACCCATGACGTATTCGTCTTCAAGCCGTAGTCTTCTACCCAGCTGCAGGCGTGACGTTCATCGGTGATGTTTGCTCGAAGCACGTCGACGTCAGGTGATGAGCTCTCATTGTCTTTGACGCATTCGATCGCGCTGTGCGCCGATGTTTCACATGCGCTGCTTTCACTAGCCATAGCCGTACAACACACTGCGATCGCGGCGATCACGTCTTGAAACACGTGGTCACCAGAGTATTCCGCGCCGCTAAGTTAAAAAAAAAGGGGGGGGGGGGGAGGCGAGTAGTTCAACACAAAGGTGATCGCGTCGAGCGACAAGGCGAGGGCTCAAGACACTGGCGGCACCAAATATACTTGAAAGCCAAGCGTGTTCACTGTAAAAAAAAATCGCACAGTAGGACACAACGGCAGATCACTTCTTGCTGAAGGGCCAAGGCCGCAAAAAGGCGCAGGCGTCAACACAAATGTTCACTGAATTAAAAAAAAAATCACGCGCACGAAAAATGCACACTAGACCACAAATTAGTCCAACGCCACGCCAAGCGCCTCTTCCTCAGTCAACGCGAGAGCAGTCCATGGTGCACAGGCGGAGACGAAAATGCCACGGGCATTGAACGAAACAGCGCAAGCCTTTTCTTCCCATCTGCGCTGAAAGGAACGGCCATTAGGGATTCCTTCAGGGCGCACTCCGAGAACGAGAGTATTTCGTCATGAGGCGCGGCGGCCGTTGCTAGGCGCACGTCGCAGCGGCGTCTCTGCGAGAGTGTGACCAATAGCGCGCCGCTGCGGTTGCCATGCGTTGAACCTACTGCAGATTACAAATGCGCGACCGGCGCGACTCACGTCACTGTTGCCATGCACAACGTTGCCCGGCTTTACTGCACTAGTAGCAGCAAACCGGAAGCAGCGGGAGTCGCAGCAGCGACAAGGGCCATTGATCAATTTTCCCATATTGGCTTCGAAATTGCAGACGTTTCTGGTTTAACTGCGCCCCGCTGATGGTCGAAATTTCCGAAGCCCTCCACTGCAGCGTCTCTTATAACCATATGGTGGTTTTGGGACGTTAAATCCCACATATCAATCAATCAATAAATCTATCCGACTTTTCCAGCTAAAAACTGCAAAGCTAGCTGGTCAAAGAATGTGTCGAACGCTATGGCGCTGGAGCAAACGCACCAGGGACGCTCCGGGTGCCGTTGTTTGAAACTAAAAGCAAAAAGATGTAAGAGCGTTGATATAAAAACGCAATCGAAAGTAAAACTACAAAACATAGAAGCGTTCACGAGCTGGCTCGTTTCGCACGTGTCATTCCCTTTTCAAGTACCAGATGGTTTGTTATCACCGCAACGGCACCCTTATTATGTGATTCTTAAAGAAAAAAGAAGAGAAAAGTGAGCCCCGTAGCTGTCTGCATCAGAGTGCGACACCTCAACAGTAGCTCAGGAGGGATGGGGGTAAAGGAGGGATTACAAGGATAGGATTAAAAGGTAAAGAGATAAAGAGAGGAAGGAGAGATCGAGGCGCAGGGACAGCGAACGACAGAAAACCAGGGAAGTAAAGAGGACATAGGAAAGATGGACACGGTCGCAGGAGTCCAAGGACGGGGCAACACTCGGCGAGAGCTGTTGTCGGCGTCAGGAAATGGCGTACGGCGAGCACAGTCAGCCTGAGCTGCGCTGTCGTCGGAGGTCGCGGGGGCACAACCGGTCGGCACGAAATCCAGAGAGCGAGTCCCCAACGGCGTCCTGTGCATTACGGGCAATATGCCGTGCGAGCTTCCTGTACGGTAGGGCTTTCAGTTCATTTCATTGGACAGCCTTCCGACGTCATAGGATGAGAGAAACACGGCCAGGTAAGCCCGCGAAATTCGAGTCGGGGGCAAGCATCCATTTCATTCTATTTTGGTATTTCTACGCACAATAACTTTGCGCTGCGTGTCCCTGTCACTGCCGTTCTTGCGGCACGTATCTTTTGAGCCTTCAGTGTACACAACCAGCTAGAAAAACAAGTAAAACTATGAGGTCATGAAAAGTGTTCGAGGGCCTCTTTAAAAAGGTGCTGCCGCACTTTTTGAGCATGGTCAGAAAACGCTGCCGATCGGTAGTAGAGGCCTTCGGGAACACGCGAGCCAAATATTATAGCGCTGCGCGCGGCCTGGCATTTACACTAAATTCTCACAGTAAGCTCTCTCTGGACAATGGATGATACAAGCTCAATCAAAAAGCACTCACCAAAGTCACTCTATCAGCCATTGGCTGATTTCAACATGACGCGATCTGTCGTAACAGGAACCGCCGCGACTTGTATAGGTTAGCAAAGTGAACCAATTATCACGCTTTGCCAATAGGTTTTACGCCATATATATATATATATATATATATATATATATATATATATATATATATATATATATATATATATATATATATATATATATATATATATATATATATATATATATATATATATATATATATATATATATATATATATATATATATATATATATATATATATATATACATCCCATTTGTTCTTGTAACTTCCCCTATACATTCCTTGGCATTATTGTCTGTTAGATCTCATTAATATTGTGTCAAAACACGGAAAAACGAGCAGTTAGGTATACACCTCTTTCCCTTATATATATATATATATATATATATATATATATATATATATATATATATATATATATATATATATATATATATATATATATATATATATAGTAAAATGACGAACAAATGCACTGTTGTTTTGTTATAAAGTGATGTTGATGACAGTGTGTCCATTTTACATATGCGATACAAAGTCCACATTTCTGTCATTGCATTTAAGGACTCACAGACCGGCCTTTTTGGGAATAATGCACCTGTACTAAATAAATGTGAGCTCACAACGACACTCGTACGCTGTAATGTATAGCCCACAACCGTGTTTGTATTGTAGCATTTATAACAGCTGCACGTTCTAGAAGGTTTGTTCAAGTTACTGCTTCACCGTGTGTATAAAATAGATGATTTTCGTATCGTTTACATTCAAACATTTAAACGCTTTCCCGGTTTGTTCAGAGTATGCACGAGTTCAACTTACGGTCGCTAGATGTCCCTACTGCAACTATATGTCACTCCCGCGTTCGTTATCGCCTGATCCGATGAACATTCGAAAAAAAAAAAAAAACATACGTCACATTTGTAGTCTTCCGTCGCATTGCAGAGTTCATTATAGAGTGCACAGTACTGAAACATTCCCCCCCCCCCTTTTTTTTTTTAAGAATGTGAAACGAAACACATGAAGTGTTGCACACGTTGCCGAGATATGTGCAGCGGGAAAATTATATTTACCTTTCACCGCAAAATATTTCA